CAAAATGGAATGGATGACTGAACTAAGATTCAAAGTTAGTTGGAACTAAAACCATCTAGAGAAAACCAAAGAAGGATGGAAATAAAACTCTGAATTAATGAGAGGGCTAAAAAAGACAACTCAGAACATTCAACTATCTGCTAAGTGTAAACTAGCAGGGGAGGACTCACTGGAGACGCTGATGAAATGTAAAGCACTTTCGATGTGGGATGGGCTGGATCCATAACCAGTCTTCCTTGCTTCCAATACATTTGCAGGTTGTGGGTTCCCAAGTTTACAAAGGCTTTGGATACAAGGTGTTGGAAAAAGAAAAGGACTCAGGAAGCTGGGGTAGGCAACAAAGCAAAAGGGAAAAAAAGTAGAGCTTTGAGGTCCCTAGTGGAGATCAGACATTTCCCCTCAAAGGCAGCCTGTTTCATAGGTGTCAAGAATAGTTCTTGGTGGATCTAGAGGCATTCAGAGCAAAGCAACACCCACAGGGAGCTTCTCGGTGCTATGTTTGGAAACAGCTCTTCTCATCCTAAATCTAGCTATCCTCAAAACAGCCTTCTTTATCCTTAAGGTTTATTGTCAAACACTTGTCTGTGCTCTCCACAGGGAGGATGTTCAGAGCTGCACAGAGACGGCAGGAGCAAGAACAAGCTGTGCAATGGCAAATGCTGGGGCCCTGGGGACAGGTTTCAATGATGTAGCTGGCTGTGAAAAAATTTTGTTCATCAGCAAGACATACTTGCAACCATCTGGAGTACCTGCTGGATGTGTCAGGAGCCATAGCTGGGTCCTTCCAGGCTAGAGGAAGGTGCAACTTGTTTTTCACAGGCTCTCCTGCACTGAGCCCAGGAAAGTCCTCTCATCAGTTTTCTGGCAAAAGTGCTGGAAAGTCCCCTTTCCAGTCCACTTCTCATGCTGACTGTAGTGGTATCACCTCAGCACAAGGGAGGTTGAGGCAGGAAGACCACAAATTTAGGGCCAGTCTACAGTCAAAAGTCCAAAAGGAATCTGTCTGGACTAAAATTGTGATATCAATCAAATTGCACTTCACACTGAAATTCATGAAGAATCTGCTTCCAATCTCATCTACATGGTTGGCTGGACTCGACTGCCTTAGGCAGGAGGACAAAGATATCAATTTCCTTGCTGTTCATCAAGCAGTGAACTGTGCCCTTGGAGCTGAAGCAGTAAGGTTAGACCATTAGAGGGAGGATCCCAAGCTGATGGTCAAGTGATTCCTTATTGCTGCCGGCCTGTCTACGTGCTCGTGTACATCTAGTCACTAGACTCATTGTGTGTCTGCTTCAAAAGAATCTAGAGTGCACAGCTGACCAGGGCCAGACCTGTAAGGAGAGACCCTGGGCCTAGAGGTTGCAGAGGTCTCCAAGGATGCGAAGCATCCATGTTTTTCCCCTCATCTTCTGACGCATGGCACCCTGAAGGAAGATCGTATGGCTGAGACACCCAGAACTTCCAAAGGTCTTAAAGTTCCAATGCCTTATCAACTGCTACTGCATTATCAACTTCAAGCAATTCTAGTGATGGCTCCAGAAGGCAAGAAGAACAGGGTAACCCAAACAACCCATCAACTGTCAGGTTTCTAGAATTCACCTGCAGATACAAAAATAGATTTCCAGGGCTAGAGAGATAGCTCCGTGGTTTAAGAGCACTGGCTGCTCTTGCAGAGGACCAGGGTTCAGTTTCCAGCACTCCCATGAGGGTTAAGAACCTTCTGTAACTCCAGTTCCAGGGGATCTGATGCCTTCTTCTGGCCTCCGTGGGCAATGCATGGACACATAAGAAAAAAGGGTAACTAGATCCCATGATGAATTACATGCTATACAAGCATCAGATAAAGAGTGTGAACATGGAAGATCTGATGAGACCTGTCCTCAGAGAAGATGAGGGTCCATGAGCTCCATGTGCCAGTCACCGAGCACATGGAGATGGTCTTTGGCCTGGATAAGGAAGTAGGTGCTGTCCATTACTACTATAGCCTCTTTATCAAATTAAGTCTCACCTATGATGGAATGCACATAGCTTTCCCAACCTGGTCTCCTGATACTTCTCTTGTGTGTGGTCTTCATGAAGGGCAACCATGCCACTGATGAGGAGATATGGGGGGCTGGACAGATGGCTCAGCGGTTAAGAGCACTGGATGCTCTTGCAGAGGACTTGACCTAGAATCCACACAGAGGCTAACAACTATCTGTAAGTCCAGTTCCAGAGGATCTGATACTCTCTTCTGGCCTCTGCACAACATGAGTATACTTACATGTAGGCATAACACTCATAACACACAAAATAAAATTACATTTAAAAAAAAAATGTTACGCCAGGCGTGGTGGTGCATGCCTTTAATCCCAGCACTCGGGAGGCAGAGTCAAGTGGATCTCTGTGAATTCAAGGCCAGCCTAGTATACATAGTGAGCTCCACGACAACTGGGGCTACAGGGAGACCTTGTCTCAAAAAAACCAAAAAAAAAAAAAAAAAAAAAAAAAAAAAAAAAAATTAAAAAGAGGAGATATGGGAAAAGAGTCTGTGAGGGAGCAGCACTTGCAGTAACAGCCAGTGGCTAATAGTGTTCCTGTCCTGTGCAGTATGAACATGTGTGGGGCCCAAGAGCTCATGCTGAAACAAGCAAAATCAAAGTCTTAGTTTGTGGAAAAGGTTCATGGGGCAGACCTCAATGTTTTACATTCTCAGTATGAAGAGGCTCTGTCATGACTTTAGATAGAGCTGGCTCCAGTTCAAGGGCCACTGCCATGGCCAGCAAGTTCCTCCTCACCTAGCACAGAGACAGATTTTCCTGTATACTCTACAGAATAGTTACTCTTGAAAAATGTAGGTCATGGGACATTCTGAATGGATGGAAGACTATATCATGTATAGTACTATTTTGTATGTGTACTATGGCATTTTATTCTTTCATTGTTTGGTCTTTTTGTTATTCAAATGTAGTCTCATTTAATAGCATTTTCAGTTAGCTTTAAAATTCCCACTTAATGCTGCAAAGAAGAGCTTTGTTGTGGGGGCTGGAGATGGCTCAGCGGTTAAGTGAACATAACACTCTTCCAGAGGACCCAGGTTTGAGCACCCCTATGGTGGCTAACAACCACCTGTAACTTCGGTTCCAGGGGATCCCACACCTTCTTCTTGCCTCTGCAGGGTGCATTTATATATATTCAGGCAAAGCACTAATATACATAAAATAAAAATAAATTGTAGGGGGCTAGAGAGACGGCTCAGCCCTTAAGAGCACTGGGTGCTCTCCAGAAGAACCGGGTTTGTTTCCCAGCACCCACAGTGACTAAAAACACTCCATAACTGCAGTTTCAGGACATCCAAAGGTGTTAAAAATCCTCCATAACTGCAGTTCCAGGGCCGCCTTCTGGCCTCTTCAGGCTTTGCACAACACAGGTGCACTTTACATGCAGGCAAAACACTCATACACATAAAATAAATAAAATTTAGGGGCTCCAGAGATGGCTCAGTAGTTGAGAGCAGTGGCAGCTCTTGCAGAGGACCCAGGTTCAGTTCCCATCATCCACATGGACTAACAACTGTCCATGACTCTGAGGCTCTTTTCTGATCTCCAAGGGGATTGCATGCATGAGTGCCCATATATAGCACACAAAACACTCATACATGTGAAAAAATAAGTTTTAAAAAGAGCTTTGTTGTGGCATAAAACTAATTGGTAAATCATCCATGACAGAATATGTGAACCTCAGGAAAGCTATGAGCTTCATTAGAGGAGGCCATAAAGGCATAAAATCATCAGAGTGGCCAAACTGCTCTAAATTGTAAAAGTGCAAAGTTCCCCCAGTGACCTAACAGCTATGGATTAGAAGTCTGGCTTTGCTCACCCCTTATCAGTTGGTCACTCCCAGGACTGAGAGAAAGTGTTTGTGGAACCCACATATCTCCTCTAGGGCGATAGATAACATGCCTGCCAATTTCTGAGGAAATAATCTTAAGAAGACCCTCAATCACTCCAAGGACACCAAACCTGGGCACTAACTCAACTCCCCACAAAGTGCAGCTGTGTCTCACACTCCTGGTTATAACCCCCACCCCCACCCCTGTTGTGGTTGTGTGTGTGTGCGTGTCTAGTTGCAGAACCTTGGTTCCCACGGACAGCCTCTACCTCTCACTGTATCTTCTTTGAATAAAGGAAGATATGTTCCTTGCCTGTTGCAGGTCTGGCTCTGGTTTGTCTCCCACTCTTCTAACTTTCCTTTTATTTTCCAAAAATCTAACAATCCATCTATCTGTATAATTACCTGGAATTATAAACCATGGTTTTGCTAAGCCTTAAACCTTAAAATATCTTTGTCTAATAGTTTTTTCCTTGTAAGTTATTTTTGTTGTTCTGTTTTGGTTTTGTTTTTAGCTGGGGTCTCCCTGTAGTCCCTGCTGGACCAGAACTCACTACGTAGACCAACCTCACAGAGATCAGCCCGCCTCTGCCTCCTGAGTACTCGGATAAAAGGAGTGTGCCACCACGCCCGGCAACTCTCCATTTCTTAGTAAAATTAAGACAAAAGACCCCCGTTTCACAAAGAAAAAAAAAAAAAAAAGAAGAAAAAGGAATCGAACCCCCCCCCCCAACACGCTCATGCAAGCAACCCTAATTAAACTCAGTGGGTCACAAACTAAAATAGGAGAAAATACATGAAAATAGGAGTGGGGTTTGTTGGAAAGGGTTCAGCCGAAGTGGAAGCTGGATGAGAGGGAATAAGGAGATAATGAGCAAAATTCATTACATACATATAGAAAACTGTCAAGTAATAGAGGGAAGAAGAGAAAATGAACAAGAAAAAGAAAAAAGGTTTCGCTTACAGGCTACTCTCGACGTAGGAGGAATCCAGAAAATGAGAAAAGAGAAATAAAAGTAAAACAACATAATAAAATAAAACTCCACTTAACAGCTACCCGCCGACGGCTCACCTCCGCCGGAAGTCACCAGAACGCGGTTTGTGATGACGTCACACACGCACCGGAAGTTACCGCGAGCGCCCGCTGGGAGAGGCTGGCTCTTGGCCGGCTCCGGGTAAGGCAGTCCACACGGGTTCTATGACATCCCAGCTGCACCGGGGCCCCATCTTCGAACCTCCCCTGTTGTGTGTGGGGCCACAGTCCTCTCTGCTCCTCCTGCACCCCGCTTCCGGTGCCCCCTGCTAGTCGCCCGTGCTCCTGGCCTTCACTTCCGGGCTTGCGAGTCCATTAACACTGGCGTCTCCCTACCTGCTACAGAGTGTCCCTATCTCCTCTGGAGCCTGCTGCCGTGGGGATCTTGGTGTGGGATGGGCTCCATCCACAACCAGTCTTTCCAGGTCCCTCACAGCTGCAGATTCTCTGTCCCTCTTTGTGCAGAGACTTTGGATATAATGTTATCTAGAAAGTGTCCGGCAAGGGAAAAACTAAAGCCAGGACTGCATGTAGGCAACCTCGCCCTGTGTCCAGTCTCGTGTGCGCCCCATGGATAATGATAGGAACAGTGACAGCGCTAGAGAAAATAGACCCAAAGCTACTGACTTTTCATTTTTTATTTTCTAGTTAGCTGTTTCTTCCAAAATATATAGGAGCTGGGCTTGGTGACGGACACCTTTAATGCCATCAGTGGGGAGGCAGAGGCAGGTGGATCTCTGTGAGATTGAGGCCAGCCTGGTCTACATACCATGTTGGAAGCAGGACTAGAGGATATATGAGTTAAGAGTATTTTAGTCTTTGCTGTCTCCTATAGCAACAGAGTACGAAGAGCCATGGCCAAATAGTTTTTATATTTATTAGCACAAGAATAATGAACACAATATATAACGCAGTCACAAACAAGCCAATTTGGGTAGTCATCAATTTAGCAGTTTAGTTCAATCATAAGCTCTACTCTGTCTATTGCTCTTTCTCCCGGGGATCTCACCAGTCACAAGTTCCAGCGGTGAGTGTAGCTCGTGGCTGATGCAAGTTCGACGGCCTCCACGATGGGGAGAGTTCGGAGACCCAACCCGGTCTGGTCTGGAGGTGGCGAGAGGATCTGTGGGCAGCAGCTGTTCTTGCCTCCGTCAGATACGCTGAGGACTGGCCTCTGAGCTCTACTTATATGGAGAGTTTGACGTCATTGCTGACGTAGTCTCTCAATAAGCTGCTGTTGAGTAGTTCAATAAGCAGGTGTCTGGTTGGCTGGTCCCCTGGAGCTTATCACTAGCTAACATGCCTAAGTTTCTGTTCCTAAGTTCATGTCACAATTCATAATTTCACACATTTCATAATTTCATAATTCTTATAGATTATTCAATAATCACACATTCTAAAGCAATTCCACCTTGTTCATGTACTCTATTACAGAATTTACATTTCTGCTCCTGACAGTACCGAATTCCAGACGGGTTTGGGCTACAGGGAGACCCTGTCTCAACACACAAACCTTCAAAAAGGAAAAAGTCTATCCACAGAGGTGGTACAGAGTCCTATACTACCATACCCTAAACCACAGTGTGTCCCACCCTGACACGTGCTCTAGTATTGTGTGAATGTTACACCTGTTTTCACAGCCAGTTCCAGCCTCCTGGAGTAACTGTGTCACCAGGTTTGCGTGTAGATGCACATCACTGCCCAAGAGGACCTGCTGTCTGAATCTGTGAATGTTGGAAAGAGGGATGTAGGCAGGAGACCTTTCCTTACCTGTGAGAATCGGTGCACTTTGTTTCCTCTCTTTGTTGCAAATAGTTTCTTGTTTAAGTATCTCATTTGGAATTCTGGCCCAACATCCATTTATTCTCTCCCCTTCCCCCTTCCTTCCTTTGGACAGGGTCTCCCTGTAGCTTCAGCTGACCTGGAACTCACTAGCTGGCCTTGAACTCACAGAGATATGCCTTCCTCTGTCTCCGGAGTGCTAGGATTAGAAGTGTGGACACGTGACTCCATTTCAAATTTCTTAACACAGGACTGTGTGTGTATTTTACTCTGGTTGTCCTGGGTGATCCTTGACATTGTGGTCATTGATCTGCTTAATAGGTCGTGATACCTGATGTGGGGATAGAGCCCCTGACTCCCATTAGGATGATGATGGGGTCACCAGGTTCTTCTGGGTACTTTGTCAGTGTCTATGTTAATATTTAAGGAAGTAAAAGAAGGGATTGTTGCTGGTTACATGGTGGCCCATGTAAGCTTTTAGTCCTAGCACTCTGGAGGCAGAAGCAGGAAGGTCTCTGTGAGTTGGAGGCCAACCTGCTGTACATAGTGAATTCCAGGCTAACCAGTACTATACATTGAGACCCTGTCTCAAACAGCGGGGAGGGGCTCTAGCTGGGACATAGCTCAGTGGTAAGAGCAACTTTGCAAGCATGAACATCTGTTCAGTTCCCAGCACCTGTATAAAAGGTTGAGTGTGCCTATTTTTCTACATGTACCTGTTTTGTTTGTTTGTTTGTTTGTTTGTTTTGTCTTTTTGAGACAGGGTCTCCCCATAGCCCCAGCTGGCCTGGGACTCACTATGTAGATCAGGCTGGCCTTGAACTCACAGAGATCCACTTGCCTCTGCCTCCTGAGTACTGGGAATAAAGGCCACCATGCCCAGCTTTGTTAAAGTTTCTGTTTGTTTGTTTGTTTTTGGGGTTTTTTTTTTTTTTGGTCTTTTTGAGGGCTGCATGTACCTGTAACTCTAGTGCTAAGGACGAGAGTCAAGAGGATCACTGTGGCTTGATGGTAGCCACCCTAGCAAAAAACCCGGTGAGCTCCAATTTTAGCAAAAGACCTTGTCTCAAGGGAATAAGGTGGAGTGTGACAGGAGGACACTTGATAAGTGTGCACATAGGTAGACACCAAAGAAGATAAATAGTAAAATAAAACAGACCTTCCCAGATCTTAATTAAAAAAACAAAACAAAACACTGGAGTAGTGGTGCATGCACACCTTTAATCCTAGTACATGGGAGGCAGAGGCAAGTGGATCTCTGAGTTTGAGGCCAACCTAGTCTACATAGTAATTTACAGGTTAGCCTGGGTTGCATACCCCACCTCAAAAATAAAAAACTTGAGTGTAGTGTGCGTGCCAGTAGTTTCAATATGAGGGAGGCACAGACAGATCTCTAGGGCTTGCTATCTAGCCAGTCTAACTGAATCAGTGAGAGAGCTTCTCTCAAAACAAGGTGAAGGAGGGCTGTGGTAGTGGCTCATTGATATAAGACTTGCCTCACATACACGAAGCCTCTGGTTCAATCCCCGATACTTCCAGGGGGCAAAAAATCATTGCCTTGATGTTGTCTTCATAGTATGTTTGGGCTGTAGAGATGGCTCAGTGGGTGAAGTGCTTGCACTGTAAGTGTGAGTGCCTGCATTTGAATCCCCAGAACCATGTAAAAACTGGATACAATAGTGTGTACATATGAAATACCAGTGTATTTCACAGTACAATGGGAGGCAGACACAGGAGAGTCCCTAGAACATATGGGCTAGCTAGCCTGGCATGCACAGCAGCAAACAAAAGAGACCCGGTGTGAAACAAGGTAGAAGGTGAGGCCCACCACCTGAGCTGGTCCTCTTGACCATGTATGTGCTGTGGAATGCATGTTCCTGCACTCACATGAGCACATAGATTTGTTTATGAGTGTGTTGCCTGCATGTATATAAATGCACCTGCCATGCAATACCCAAGGAGGTCAAAGGAGGGCATTGGATCCCCTGGAACTGGAGTTATATAGGATTGTTAGGTGCTATGTGGGTGCTGGGAACTAAACCTGGGTCTTCTGTAAGAGCAGCCAGTGCTCTTAACTGCTGAGCCGTCTTTCCAACCACTGTTTTTTTTTGTTTGTTTGTTTGTTTGTTTGTTTTGTTTTGTTTAAATTAAGATGGAGAGTATATGCGGAAGACACCTGACATTGACCTCTGCCCTGAGCATACACATGCATGTGCATCTATATGTATGCTCACTTGCAGACACACACACATACACACACAACCCAGAAACACACTTAATGATAGGAAAAGAATCCGTTGCTATGAGGAAAGAAGTTAGATGCATTAGAACTTGTAGGCCCCAAAGATAGTCCACAATGTTCATCTTGACGATGGACTAATGTCCAGTGATCTAGGGGTGGACCTGGAACATGGGATCATATTCAGTGTCCAGGTCCTTCTGGGAGGCCCATTGAAAGTAGGGCTTTGGCGTGTGCCTGAGGATCACTGAATTCTGCTTTGGAAGCTGTTGGGGGCAGTTGATATCTAAGGTACATGCTGTAGGATGAATTCTTCAGCAGCAGCTAGTCACAGGTCTCTGTTCCTTTGCAGCCCCAGCATGGACTTCCTGGTTCTCTTCCTATTCTACCTGGCCTTTGTACTGATGGGTGTTGTTATGATCTGCATCTGCACCAAAACCCAGCGTTTGAAAGGTCTGGTCCTGGGAGGAGCACAGGTAGCAATGGCCCTTGCTTTCACTGCTTTGACTACTGTGCTAGGTGTTAGTCTGAAAGACTCATGGGCCCAGGTGTTGTAAGACAGGCCTATAATCCCAACGGGTGGGACATTGAGGCAGGAGGATTGAAAATTTCAGGCCAGCCTGAGCTACATTTGCTTTGAGATAAGTGGCATTCTTAAGGCTGGCTATGTAACTGTGTAATATCTGCAGTTGGGCAGGCATATGAGTAGCATTTGCTTAGACATGCCTGGTGGATATATGAACAGAAATCTCTCCATCTTCTTTTGGGGGGACAGAGAGCCAAATTGGAGCAAGCAGTCCATGAGAGGTTGACTTGAGAGGAACCTGGGCTAATGCCCAGTAATCCTTGGTAGATCCTGAGCATAGGATGAAACCCAGGGCAAAGGAATGAGCAGCATTCATCATCATCCCTAAACCTCTGCTTGCCTCCTTTTCTCCAAAGGCCCTGATGGCCACATTCTTTTTTAGCCGTTAGTTAGTTAGTTAGTTAGTTAGTTAGTTAGTTAGTTAGTTAGTTAATTTTTTGACACTGGGCCTCACTCTGTACCCCTGACTGACCTAGAACTCACTATGTGGAGCTGGAGAGATGACTCAGTGGTTAAGAGCAGTGACTGCTCTTGCAGAGGACCTGGGTTTGAGTCCCAGCACCCACATGGCAGCTAACAACCATTCACAACTCTAGTTCTAGGGCATCCAATGCCTTCTTCTGACCAAGGGCATTGCACCTGTGTTGTGCAATGCCCATGGAGGACAGAAGAAGCTGTCGGATCCCCTGGAATTGGAGTTACAGACAGTTGTTAGCTGCCATGTGGGTGCTGAGATTCAAACCCTGGGTCTTCTGCAAGAGCAGTCAGTGTTCTTAACCACTGAGCCATCTCTTCAGCCCCATAAAGTTTTTTTTTTTTTTTTAAAGAACTCATTATGTATATCAGGCTGGCCTGGAAGTTACAGAGATCCACCTTACTGCCTCCTGAGTGCTGGGATGACAGATGTGTGACACCATGCCCAACACTTTTTAAAGAAGATGTTTTTATGTGTATGTATGAGTGCCTGTATGTATGTATGTATGTATGTATGTATGTATGTATGTATGTATGTATAGCATGTGTATGCCCAGTGCCAGCAGAGACCAGAAGTGTGTGTTGAATCCCCTGGAATTGGAATTACAGGTGGTTGTGAGTTCCCATTAGGGTACTGGGAACCTAAACTGAGTCCTTTTCAAGAGTAGCCAGTGCCCTTAGCTGCTGAGTCATCTCTCTAGCCCCTGACAAGTACATTCTTTGTGGTCAAGATAGAAACTGAGCAACTGTTTATACTTCCTACAGTCCCAGCACTAGGAGGCTGAGATAGGAGGGTCACAAATTCCAAGCCACCTTGGGCTACTTAGTGAGACTCTGTCCTAAAACAAAGAGGGGGGTGCTAGGGAGATGACTCAGTGGTTATAAGTACTTGTCATGCAAGTGTGAGAACTGGCATTCTGATCCCCAGCACCCACATAAATTCTGGGTGTGTGGCCTGCCTGTAATCCCAGTGCTTGACAGGTAGATAGAGGTGATCTCTGGAGCCAACTAGATAGCAAGACTAGCCAAATTAGCAAGCTCTGGGGTCCAGTGAGAGACCCTACATCAATGAATAAAGTAGAAAGTGACTGAGGAAGACACCCAGTATCAACCTCTGACCTACACATGCATGCACACACACACACACACACACACACACAATGGCATGAGATAGTGTCAGAGGAAGACTGGTAAAAGAAAGTCTTCTTTCTTTTTCTCTCTTAGATTGCATCTCTGTCCATATAAGGAAACAGAATCTAGAATCAACGTTGCCAGTTGCCTTTGGAAAATCTGGTGTTCCAGGGTGAGGGGATGGGAAGTGAAACTGAACTTTTTCTTTTGGTTTCAGATGTGCTCCTGTGTAGTTCCGCAGCCCCTGCAGAGGGCTGTGCAGAGACTCCTCCACCACCTCTTCCACACACGGTATTCGTAGCTCCAAGTTGAAACATGGCCCCTCTTTTTAGACATGATGATAAATGTTGCTTTTCTGTAGCTTCAGGAAGCTTTTTGTGGTTTCCAGCATGGTAAGGGGAAGGATGCTCAAAGTTTTGAGAGCCCTGGGTTTGGAATTTCTCCTTATGGGTCATCTATCATTTGTCCTTGGTGTTGTAGCATGCCTATTTATTTATTTATTATTATTATTTATTTATTGGTTTGAACTGGGGACCTTATGCATGCATATCTGGCAAGCCCTCTACCTCTACCACTGAACTATGTCCCAGCCCAACATGGCCACATTTTTTGTTTTGTTCTTTTTGAGACAGAGTCTTCCTGTAGCCCCAGCTGACCTAGAATTCACTATGTAGACCAGGCTGGCCTTGATCTCACAGAGATCCACCTGCCTCTGCCTCCCTAGTGTTGGGATTAAAGGAGTGCACCACCACATTTGGCTTATCTTTTAAAAATGTTTTATTTATTTATTTTTTATGTGTATGAGTGTTTTGCTGGCACGTATGTGAGTGCACCACATGTGTTGAGTGCCCACTGAGGCCAGGAGAGAATGTTGGATCCCTTGGAACTGGAGTTACAGGCAATTTTGAGCAGCCACGGGTGCCGGGAACCGAACCTGGGTCATCTGCAATAGCAGCAAGTCCTCTTAAACCATTAAACCATCCCTCCAGCCCCATTATTTATTTATCTTTTTTTTGAGAGTCTTACTATATAGCCCTGGGTGGTCTCAAACTCAAGGCAACCCTCCTATCTCATCCTTCCCACTACTGAGATTACAGTTGTGTGCTACCCTGCTGGGTCCTTATTTAACTTGTAAAGGAGATAGTCACCCTTGGTCCTTAGCTTTGTGTGATTTCTTCCTGGAGCTGCCCTGCGAGTAAGCCAGCCGTGTGCACTTCCATCCAGCAACCATGCCTTCGTTGTCCTGCACCTGGTCTTACAAGGGCTGGTTTATTCTGAGTACACCTGGGAAGTATTCAGCTACTGCCAAGGGCTGGAGTTCTCTCTGCACTACCTTCTTCTGCCATACCTGCTGCTGACTGTGAACCTGGTTTTCTTCACACTAACTTGTTCAGCCAATCCTGGTAAGTCAAATGATAGGCTAGTGGTAGCTCAGGCGTTGTGCTGCTAGCGCCCAAAATAAGTAGTGGCTCCCTAAGAAGAGAGCAAGGATGCCACTGTAGCTTTTTCATTATCTTCCAGTTTTGAGTGCTTTCTAATTTATTTTTGGTTTTTTGCCCATGGGTTAAAGTTTCTAATATGCACACTAGTTTAAATTTTTCTTACATATTTTCTTTATTTTGAGATGGTCTTGCTGTGTGTCTCAGGATGACCTTGAACTTGTGGTCCTCCCACTTCTGCCCTCCATGTGCTGGGATCACAGGCATGCGCTCCTATACAGGCTTTAATGCCTCTTTTTAGTTTTTCAAACTTTCACTTAATTGCATCATGTAGAGCTGTGTTTAGTATGACACTACTTCCTTTTTAATTCTTTTTATTTTTAATTGTTTATGTCTGTGTGTCTCTGTGTGTATACCTGCACATGAGTGGAGTGCCCTTGGAAATGGAAGAGGGTGTTGGATCCCCTGGAGCTGGAGTTCCTGGACATGGGTGCTAGGAACTGAACTCCGGTCTTCTACAGGACCAGCAAGCACTTTTAACTACTGAGTCACCTCCCCAGTGGGCCCCATGCTCTTGCACTGCCTCCTTTTAAGTCTTTCATTATATGTGGGAATGTGGTCAGTTTTTGTAGATGCTCTCCGTGAGCTTGAAAAGAGCTCTTCCTTTCTAGCTTTTGAGTACAGAGAACCAAAAGTTCATCACATCGTTTGTTATGTCTATTCTAATCATGTGTGTGTATGTGTAAGTATATACAAATGTGTGTGCATGTGGAAGGCTAGAGGGCAGCCCTAGGTGACATTCCTCAGGTATGTTTTGCCGAGAGAGAGAGAGAGAGAGAGAGAGAGAGAGAGAGAGAGAGTCTCTCACTGGTTTGGAACTCATCTGTACTTTATCACTTGTATTTCTTTTTAAAAGATTTACTTTTGGGGCTGGAGAGATGGCTCAGTGGTTAAGAACACTGAATGTTCTTGCAGAAGACCTGGGTTCGAATCCCAGCACCCACACAGCAGCTAACAACTGTCCATAACTCCAGTTCCAGGAGATCTGACAGCCTCTTCTGTCTTCCTCGGACATTGCACGACACGGGTGCACCTACTTATACACAGACAATATATCCATACACATAAAATAAAAATAATAAATATTTAAATAAAAAAAAGAGTGCCTGCCTCTGCCTCCCATGTGCTCGGACTACAGGCATGCACCATCATACCTGGCTCAACCCAATTGTTTTAAAAGTATTCTTTTAAATTTTTTGCCCTGAAGTACCAGAAACCTAAGTGTTGAATGGGTAAATGCCATAAACACACAGAGTAGAATATTATTCAGCCCTAAAAACGAAGAGGGGACTATGGATGTAGCTCACTGGTAGAACAATTGCCTAGCATGCATGAAGCTCTGGGTTCAATTTCTGGTACTACAGAACAAAACAAGAAGATAATACAGTACAAACTCAGGCTACAGCATTCCTGAACTGTGAAAACGCAGTGCTGCTCTAAGAAGACAGATACAAAAAGCCACAAATTACATAGCTTCATTTCTTTAAAGATTTTATTTACATATATTTTATGAATGTTTTGCCTGTATGTATGTAAGTACACCATGTATGTGCAATGCCTGCGGAGGCCAGACCTGGAGTTACAGATAGATAGTTGTTAGCTACCATGTGGGTGCTGGGAACCGAACCTCTGAAAAAACAATTGTTGCTGTTAACCACCAAGCCATCTCTCCAGCTCCTGTATGTGCTTTAAATGGGTGAACTTAAAAAAGGTTGGTAGGGGCTGGAGAGATGGCTCAGTGCTTAAGAACACTGGCTGTTCTTACAGAAGACCTGGGTTCAAATCCCAGCACCCACATGGCAGCTAACAACTGTCCATAACTCCAGTTCCAGGGGATCCAACAGCCTCTTCTGTCCTCCTTGGGCATTTCATGACACGGGTGTACTTACCTACGTGGCCATTGCACAACATGGGTCACTTACCTACATGCAGGCAATACATGCATACACATAAAATAAAAATAATAAATAAGGCCGGGCATGGTGGCACACAGCTTTAATCCCAGCACTTGGGAGGCAGAGGCAGGCAGATCTGTGAGTTCAAGGCCAGCCTGGTGTACATAGTGAGTTCCAGGCCAGCTGGGGCTACAAGGAGACCCTGTCTCAAAAAGACCAAAAAAAAAATAATAATAAATAAAAATTTAAAAACCAGTTGGTAGCAGTGTTAGCTGCGTGGTGTTGGGCAGGTTTTGTGAGCATCCATTCAACCACAGTGCTTGGAACTGACATTCATCCCTTCTTAGGCACCATAACGAAAGCAAACGAATTACTACTTCTGCAAGTCTATGAATTTGATGAAATGATGTTTCCAAAGAATGCAAGGTGCTTCACTTGTGACTTAAGGAAGCCAGCCCGATCCAAACACTGCAGTGAGTATGGCTCTCCAGTGATCTCCCCAGCACACACATGGGCCCTATCTGCAAGAGAAAACCCACAAACCCAGGCACAGTATAAGCATTCTTCAAAGTTTTCCAATACTGCAGAGAATACCAAAACATTTCCCTTCACACATCCACACTAATGATTGGATAATAATTGACTGAAATGGGACTACAGGCTGTACAATGCATGCCTAGCATGTGCTAGACCCTGGCTTCATTCCCAGAAAAGGAAAGGAAAGAATTGACTAAAACAGCCTGTCTATATTGTCATTTCACGATTTGTGCCACTTAGTGTTCACATTGAATTCAATTTTGCATAAATTGAAAGACAAGTTTTTCAATGTCAACAAACTATTCTTTGAGATTTTTCTTGTCCCCACTCAGTGCTCAGTTCCCACATGGGCCTGTGACTATAATAGTGCACACTACAGTTCTTTTTAAAACACATGTGCATATGTGTTATGAGTGTGTATGGAGGCCAGAGGTTGACACTGGGTGTCTTCCTCAATTGCTCTCCACCTTGTATGTGAGACTTGGTCTTTCACTTGAACCCAGAGCTCAGTGATTCAGCTAGTCAAGCTAGCCAGAGTGCTACAGGGATCCCTTGTCTCTGTCTCCTGCCTGCTGGGATTATAGGCGGTCATCAACCCCCCTGGCATTTTCATGGGTGCTGGGATTCCAAACTCTGGTCCTTACTCTTGCTTGGCAAGCGCTTTTATCTGCTGAGCTGTCTCCCCAGTCCCACACCCTGTAGTTCTAAAAGCTTGCTAACACTGGCTGCCCTGCCCTGAAACTGTCAGTGGTCAGTTTGTAAGTCTTAGTTTGGTGTGCCTGTTGTGATTGTCCAGTCAAGGACAAACCCAGCTGTTGTGCCCCCCTCTCTGCAGGTGTGTGTGACTGCTGTGTGCACCGATTCGACCATCACTGTGTTTGGGTGAACAACTGCATTGGGGCCTGGAATACTAGGTACTTCCTTATCTACCTTTCAACATTGACAGCATCAGCTGCTACCCTGGCTATCCTGAGCACTGCATTTCTGGTCCGTCTGGTAGTGGTGTCTGACCTGTACCAAAAATCTTACATTGATGACCTTGGACAGTTCCAGGCTGTGGACACATTCTTTCTTATTCAGGTAATTTTGGATTGAGCTGTGGGGTTCAGAATCAGAAAGGAGATGTTGATTATCCATGGAAAAACACTGAGTCACTTTTTTATTCTTTTTTCTAAATATAGTATTTCTATTCTGTGAGAATTTCATACATGCATACATTATATTTTGTTTTGTTTTTTTCTGATCTTTTTGAGACAGGGTCTCTGTAGCCCCCTGGCCCTCACAGAGATCTGCCTGCCTCTGCCTCCTGAGTGCTGGATTAAAAGTGTGCACCACCATGCCTGGCTACATATATTATATTTTGACCACATTAGCCTCCACTTCTCCCCCTAACTCTTCCTAAATCCATATCCCCAACCTCCCTGCTCCCTCTCAATTTAGTGCCTTTTTTTCCCCCAATAACCCACTGAGTCCAATTTGTGCTACCTCTATACCCATGGGGCCATCCACTGGAGCATCCACCTACCAGGGACCACAGCCTTAAAGAAAACTGACTTTCCCTCCCCCAGAAGCCATCAACTGTCCATAGCGCCTCATGGGTGAGGACTCATAAGCCGTTCTCCCTCCATATTGGAATGTTGACTTGCTTGATCCTGTGCAGGCAACTATAGCTGCTGTGGGTTCATGGGTGCAATGGTCCTGTCATGTCCAAAGGACACTGTTTTGCTCCAGTCCTCCTTGACTTCTGACTCTTACAGTCTTTCTTCCCCCTCTTCTGCAATGGTCCTTAAGCCTTGGGGGACATGGTGGGGTATAGCTGTCATATTTGCGGCTGAGTGCTTTACAAACCCTTACTCTCTGCAGCTTGATCATTTGTGAGTTTCTGCATTAACCACCACCCACTGCACAAAGAAATTTCTGATGAGATTTGAGAGCTGCACCAATCTTTGGTTGTAGATAGGAAGTTAGAGGCAGTTTGATACTATGTCCATTTAGTAGGTTCTTCTCTGAGACCTGTGAGCTCCCCAGCTAGGGATTCTTGGTCCTATATTTTAATTGGTAACAAATTCTTTTTTTCAAAAAAAATTGTTTTGGTGACAGAATCTTATGTATACCAGGCTGGCCTTCAACTTCTGGTCCTCCTGCCTCTGGCAGTGCTGGGATTACATGTGTTTACTACCACACTGGGCTTATACAGAGCTAGGCAAGCATTCTACCAGCTGAGCCACATCCCTAGCCTTAATGATATAAAACTCACATCCCCCCCAAATCCACTTCTTTGTTTTTATCATTAAATTTTTTTTACTAGATTTATTTTTCTTTTATGTGTGTGAGTATTTTGCCTGGATGATATAAGTGCACCACATGTGTGCCTGATGCCCGTGGAGGCCAGAAGATGGCGTTGGATCCCCTGGAACTGGAGTTCCATTTGGTTGTTAGCTGCCATGTGAGTGCTGGGTACCAAACGCAGGTCTTCTGCGAGAGCAGCCAGTGCTCTTAACTACTGAGCCATCTCTCCAGCCCATTGTTTTTTGTTTGTTTTTATTTTTTGAGACAGGGTCTGTTTTTCAGGGCCCAGGCTGGCCTTGAACTTGCTATATAAAAAAGGATGATTTGAACTCCTGATGCTCCTGCCTCCCCCTCCTGAGTGCTAGGATTACAGGTGTGTGCCCCCATACCTGGTTCAAAATCTGACCCTTTAACATGTACAAGTCAGAGGTTTCGGGCATTCAGAGTTGTAGACCCATTGCCACTGTAGCATTTCAGAACATTGTGTTACCTCTAAAGAACACACCCTGTTCCCTCTTCCCCTAGCCCTAGTATCCATGAATCTACTTATGAATTTCCTTTAATTGGACATTTCATAGTTTCAGTTGTGTAGTAGGACCTTTGTCCTGGCTTTTTTGTAAAGTTTTCAAGGTTCATTCATGTTGTAACATGTAGCATGTACTTTATTCCCTCCAAAGGCCAAGTAATATTCTGTTATATGATAGGCATTTGACTTTTACCATTTTTAGTTGGTTTTGAGTTATGTTGCTGTGAACATTTGCATATATGTTTTGTGTGGACACATGTTTTCATTTCTTGAGGATGTACCTAGTACGTGTAGAATTGCTAGGTATGGTAATTGTATGGTAGCTCTGTGCACTGGAAAACTGGCAGACCGTTTTTCAAAGTGTCTACCATTTTCTATTCCCACAATCAGTGTTCTCTATGTCTTCTTCAATGCTTTTTATTACCTGTCTTTAAAAAATTTTTGTTTTACGGGGTTACAGTCTCACTATGTATTTCAGACTGGCTCCAATTCTCAGTCTTCCTGCCTCAGCTTCTTGACTGCTGGGAATACAGATGTGTACCATCATGCTTGGTTGGTGTAGGGTTTTGGGTATAAAAAAGTTGAGACATCTTCATTAGATCTGTCTCTTGTGACTTGTTAGTCTCCCTCATCAAGAGTTTTGAGTGGTTCTTTCTCTTCTGACTTTCAAAAATATTGAACTCTTTCTTTATTCAAAAAATTCTAAATTCTCTATCCCTAAAATAATATAAATGCAAATGATCAACAAATACTATTTGGTCTGGGGATCTAGATGGCTCAGTGGGTAAAGCACTTACCAAAGAGTGAGATCCTGAGATCCTGAGTTCAGATCCCTAGAACCCATGTAAAGCTGGGTGTGGTAGTGGATGACTATAACCTCATCACTCCTGTGGCAAGACAGAAGGCAGAGCCAGACACAGGAGGATCCCTCAGAAGCTCAAGGGCCAGTCAGCCTGGTGTATGCAGTGGCAAACAACAAAATAGAAGTTGAGAACTGATGGGATATAATCCTATGACCTCCACATGTGCACTATGCCATGCATGCCTGGATGTACAAGAACATGAGCATACACACACACACACTCACACTCACACTCTTAATAAAGATGTTCAAGAGCCAGCTGTACATCGGGTAGATTTCAATGGTAATGTTTATCACCTCTATTAATTAACATGACTTAACACTTTTAGTCCCAGCACTTGGGAGGCAGAGGCAGGAGGATCTCTGTGACTTCAAGGCCAGCCTGGTCTACAAAGTGAGTTCCAGGCCAGCCGGGGCTACAGGGAGACCCTGCCTCAAAAAGACACCCCCCCCCAAAAAAAAGATGAAATGAAAACTGAGAGCACCTGCCCTCCGGTCCTCTTCCTACCCTGGTACTGTGCTTTCCTCGTGCAGATCACATGAGCCTTATTCTTTGTTTTTCTCACTAGGCAGTGTGCCACAATCTTCAAAAACCAGTACCTGGAAACTGACTTGATTTTTAATGACTCCTTAGTATTTCATGGTATGACTGACCCAGTTTTACTCTTCCTTATGGATGAACATTGGTTTTTTTTTGGTTTTGTTTCATTTTCTGAGACAAGGTCTCACTATGTAACCCAGGCTGTCCTAAAACTTTTCATCCTTCTGAGTGCTATCACAGGTTTGTGCCACTGCCTGGCTAACTTGTTTCTTTTGGGGAGAGAGGCTATTGGAGTCAGTGCTATCCTGCACACCCTTGTACAGATTTTTGTTGGTTGGTTGGTTTCTTACAAGGCCTACCTGTAACCCCAGCTGGCCTGGAACTCACTGTATAGACCAGGCTGGCCTCAAACTCAAAGAGATCTGTCTGCCTCTCCCTCACCAGTGCTGGGATTAAGAGCATGCACCACCACACTTGGCTATTTTTGTTTCTAATAGACACTGGTTTGTCTGTGTGGCTTTTATTTTGATGAGGACTACATTCATTTATGTTGTAAATAGCTAACTGTCAAAGCATTGTGTCCTGAGTGGCCTTTCTGCCCATGTGAATACTTCATTTATCTATCAGAAAGGTCTTGCACACACTTGAATTATTCCTGGGCTGTGTGTCTCTGTTGGTTGATTCATATTTATGTTCAGTAAGTCAGATTTGGGGAAACTGATCAATGAACCCAGGGCCTGTCAATAGTTAGACAAACACTACCACTGAGCTGTATATATAGCCCTGTGGGTCAGTTTTGATGCCGGCAGGCGAGCTATAGTGGCAGCTCTGACAGATTCCACAGGATCGAGGCTGGTGGGTGCTGATGCTTGTAGGTGTCACAGTAATACTTCTTAACACCATGTGCTTTCTCTGCCCCCAGCACCTGTTCCTGACCTTCCCAAGGATCATCTTCCTGTTAGGCTTTGTCCTGGTGCTGAGCCTTCTCCTGGCCGGCTACCTGTGCTTTGTTCTATACCTGGCTGCCACCAACCAGACCACAAATGAGTGGTGCAGAGGAGACTGGGCCTGGTGCCAGCACTGCCCTCTTGGGGCCTGGTCTCCATCAGCAGAGCCCCAAGTCCACCAGAACATTCACTCCCATGGGCTTTGGAGCAACCTTCGAGAGATCTTTCTACCTGCTGCCCCATGTTATGAGAGAAAGAAGAGATAGAATGGGATATTGAATATTGTTTTTGAATATTGAATGCTTCTATTTATACATATGATACTTGTTTTCTAAGTATTGTTTGTGTTGGTTTCTGCTGTGTGAGTTGAATGGGCATTCAGTGGGGAAGTGGGCAAGAGATGCTAGGACTTGCTGAGTGTGTGGTCTCACTGGGCACTATGGCAGATTCCTCTCCTGCCTATTTTCTGTTATAAACTATTTCTTTTGGGGTCCTGGTATCAGGAATGTCAAGAGATGGCTTGTCCAAGGCTTCAAGTGACAAGAAGACCTTAGTCTATCTCACCCTACACTGGGGCACCTGAACAAGGGCCTTATAGCCCTGTTCCTGATATAAAAGAGGGTCTCAGTGACTCAACTCAGTTGTGCCCAACTGCACCCTTTCCCTAGTATGTCCCTCTCTGTTCTGATTTGTTTGTCCATTGCTGTGACAAACATGCTCACCAATACCAACTTGGGGAGGAAAGGGTTTATTCAACTTACATCTCCCAGGTCACAGTTCATCAGGGAGCCCAAGGTAAAAACTCGAGGCAGGAACCTGGAGGCAGAAGCTGGAGCACAAGCCATGGAGGAATGCTGCTTACTGGCTTGCTCCCCCAGGTGTGTCAAGTTGACACTAAAGCTACCCAGCACAATTGACCCTTTATCAACTTGACATACACATCACTATTAAACCATAACCTTTCCAATTTTTGTCTCCAAGATATGATGTTACTATCACAACATAAGACAGTACAACCTTAAAAGTCTCACAGTCCTTAAAAATTCAAACACTTAGAAGTCTTTTAACTGTGGGCTTCTGTAAAATCCAAAAAAGTACTGTCTTATTTCAAAGGGAAGAATTGGACACACCTAAGCAAAACCTAAGTCCAGCAAAGCAGCTCCAGGCTGGACACCTGGAATTCACTCACAATCTTCTGGGCTCCAAAGGGTTCTGGCAGCTCCACTTCTCTGACTCTGCTGCTCACAGTACACATAGGTTGTCTTGCAGACCCAGGCCAGCACCATTCCACACCTACTGATATCCTTAGTGGTCATCCCACAGTCCTGGCATCTCCAAAAAGCTTGGGTCTCCACTGAAACCGAGGCTACACCTTCATCAGTGGCCTCTTCTTGCCTCTTGGGATGCAAAGCTGCAGATTCTCTCCATGACCCTTTCAATTTTGGGGTCTTCACTGTAACTGAGGCTGCACTTTCACCAATGGCCTTTCCTAGCCTCTCAAAGTGCCAAGCCACGGCTGCTGTGACTCCTTCACACTTTCACCACCAGAACCATGCAGGAGACTTACACATTACCAAGTCCTGCTTCCAGCTTGAGATAGAGGCTTGGGTCCCCTGTGTGTGCTGACCCTGAGGAAATACCTCCCAGAAGACTTCACCACAGTGATGCTGGTCTTGTTACAGCTGATTCTTCAGCACCAGCCAACCAGAACCCACAGATTCTCAATTCGAAATATCACACAAATATCCCTGATAGTCTCTGTTTCCCTTTGAAGCTTCAAAAGCCAGGCCTCCACCATCTACAACTCTTTCAGCATAACTGTTCCAAGTTCCAACTGTTCTAAGCAACAAACTCTTAAGCTCTCAATGGCTTTTCCAGCCCAAAGTTCAAAACACTTCCACAATACTAAAAACACCAAGGTCAGGTCTGTCACAGCAATGTTCCCCTCTGACCAATACCAACTTGGGGAGGAAAGTGTTTATTCAGCTTACATCTCCCAGGTCACAGTTCATCAGGTAGCCCAAGGTAGAAACTCTGGGCAGGAACCTGGAGGCAGGAGCTGGAGCACAGGTCATGGTGGAATGCGGCTTACTGGCTTGCTCCCCCAGGTGTGTTAAGTTGACACTAAAGCTATCCAGCACACTCTCTCTCAAGGGATCTTTAGCACCTAAGGAAGTCCTCACCCAGGCCTGCCTTTGGGGCTACCGTGGGCCTTTAACTGCAAGCACAATGTTGTACTTGGTCTCCTACCTTGCCCCCACTGGCCTCTGTCCATATTCAAGTCGAAACTTCACTGCCAGCCAGTTCAGCATAGAGTTCAGTGTGCATGATTGCTGGTAGAGTTTGTATAAAAATCCTGAGGGGAGGGGCTGGAGAGATGGCTCAAGAGCACTGACTGCTCTTGCAGAGGACCCTGGTTCAATTCCCAGCATCCACATGGCAGCTAAGAACCGTCCTTAACTCCAGTCCCAGGGGAATCTGAAGCCCACTTCTGACCTCCGCGGCACTGCATGACATGGGTGCAGTCATATACAGGCAGGCAATACGCTCATACACATAAAAAAAAATCCTGAGGGGTTTAGGGTTTGCAGGAGTAGGAAGCAGGTAGACTGGACCTTGTAAGCTACTAAGATTCTCACAGCCTTCTTAGGCTGAGCCAACAGCAATAGTTAGAGGCCAGGCCTCTGGAGAGAACTTGGAAACAGGGACCCTGGGAACAGAAAGTGTGAGCCAAGGAAAGGGGTGGGATGGGGAGGATGGGTGGGTGGAGATGTATAGAGAGGGCCTTCCTTACCAGGCATTATATGCCCTAGCAGCCCCAGGGGGTCTGAGCAGAGGCAACTTAAAAAAAATAGATAATCCATGCCTGGCGTGGTGGTGTTTACAGAGTCAAGTGGATCTCTGTGAGATCAAGGCTAGCCTGGTCTACAAAGCGAGTTCCAGGCCAGCTGTCTCAAAACAAGATAATCCTTTTATTAATTCTTAGAGAACCAAATAAATGGATACAGTGTATTTGATCATAGTCACCCCCACTCCCCATAACTCCTCCTAGGATATCCCCTCCCCTCAAGCATCTTTTAAGCTGGGTGCCTGCACCACCTCCACGACCTGTCTGGTGAGAAGCTAGGTGAAAGATTCCAAACAAGCTGGAGCACTGGAACACTGAAGTGGCACTCAGGGGTGGGAGGGTCGGCCAGGTGAGGCGGGGCCTAGCTCCCTCGGCGGTGCTCGACTAGGCTCCGCCACCAGGGGGCGCCGTGGAGCGCACGGCTCTCGTTTGGCCCCTGCGGGCCACCGTCGCCACCCTGGCATTCCGCCGCCGGTTTGGCTGAGCTGGCTCGGCTCTGGCGGCTCTGAGCGGCGTCACAGTCGGACCGTGGGCGCCCGCTGGCCTATGGCGGCGGGGGCGACGACAGCGATGGCCCCCTGAGCCGGCGACAGCAACTAGCAGCGGCCGGGCGGAATCCGCGGCACAATCGGCGTCGGGGCGGAGGCCGGGTCGCGCCTCTTTGTCTCCGGGCGGAAGTGGGACGTGCGGCGGGGACGCGGTGGCCGCACCATGAGCGACATCCGTCACTCGCTGCTGCGCCGCGACGCGCTGAGCGCCGCCAAGGAGGTGCTGTATCACCTGGACATCTACTACAGCAGCCAGCTGCAGAGCGCGCCGCTGCCCATCGTGGACAAGGGCCTCGTGGATCTGCTGGAGGAGTTCGTGTTCCAGGTGCCCAAGGAGCGCGGCTCGCAGCCCAAGGTGCCTGCCCCGACCGTGCCCTCCCTTCGGCGACAAATACTTGCCAGGCGGCTCCCGACTCGCACTCCGGCCAGGGTCCTGCAGCAACGCATCCCCATGCTGCAGCCCCCTGCCCTGCATGGCTCAGCCGCGTGCCTGGACAGTCATCCGTCAGACATCCAGGCAGAGACTGGCCGTGTAACATCTTTAGAGTTTCAAACCTTGTGGGCCAACCTGCGCCCTCCAGGATGTTAGCAATTAGATACATGACTTTTTCTTGCGCTTACTTAGGCGTCAGAAAGGAGAAAAAGTACACTCCTGGAACAGAATAGATTTCTTGAATTTGAATTTTAAAAATTTTCCTGAGGGAGACACGGTCTAGCGTGGAACTCGAGTTCTTCGGTCTCAGCCTTAGTGCCGAGTTGCTCTCCCGGGGTTTCAGAAGAGCAGAAAAAGTACACCTTGGGGAAGAAAATAGAATTTTGTGTTTTTGTTTGTCTTCTAAGTCAGAGTCTTCCTATAGGTCCACCTAGTCTAGAATCTCTGTAGATCAGGCTGGCCTCAGTCTCACAGAAGACCTACCTGCTTCTGCCTCTGGAGTGCTGGGATTATGCTACCACACCCAGTTATTTTCTTTTAATGATAGAGGTATTTTGTTAAGACAGGGTGTGACTTTGTAGCTGGCCTGGAACTTGCAATGTAGATCAAACTAGCCGAAAACTCAGAGAGCCACTTGCCTCTCTGCTCTGCTACCTGAGTGCTGGAAGTAAAGGCATTCGCCATGCTCAGATGATTTATTTTTATTTTGCATGTCTGAATGTTTGCACATAAAGTACACCACATGTATGCAGTGCCTGCAGAAGCCAGAAGAGGGCATTGGATGCCCTGAAACTGGAGTTAAGAGGTGGCTGTGAGTCATCATGTGTGTGCTGGGAACTGGCATGAGCTCTCTCTCTCTCTCTCTCTCTCTCTCTCTCTCTCTCTCTCTCTCTCTCACACACACACACACACACACACACACACACACTCACATGCACACAAAGCCACAGCTGACCTGGAACTCGAGCTCCTCCAGGCTCAGTCTCTGAGTACTTGGATTACAGGTGTGCTCTCCTCCCATCTTACTGTTGAAACTCACAGGCTTATGAGCTACTCATCTCTCACCACTTCTCTCCTTGATTTGTTTTCACAGAGACTGAATTCCCTTCAGGAGCTTCAGCTTCTTGAAATCATGTGCAATTATTTCCAGGAGCAAAGCAAGGACTCCGTTCGGCAGATCATTTTCTCATCCCTTTTCAGTCCCCAGGGCAACAAAGCCGATGACAGCCGGATGAGCTTATTGGGAAAGCTGGTCTCTATGGCAGTGGCTGTGTGTCGGACCCCTGTCTTGGAATGTGCGGCCTCCTGGCTCCAGGTACTGCTCTGGAAATAGTCTTTCCCAGAAGAGGGCATCGGGTCCTGGGACCCCTGGGTGCCATCCTGCCTAGGTTAGGATTATAACCTCATGCACAAAATAGATAGATGGTCACTTTAAAAAAAAATTTCAGCTGGGCGTGGTGGCGCACATCTGTAGTCCCAGCAACTTGGGAGGCAGAGGCAGGCAGATCTCTGTGAGTTCAAGGCCAGCCTGTCTACATAGTGAGTTCCAGGACAGCTGGGGCTGCAGGGAGACCCTGCTTACTTGGGCAGCATAGGCAGGTGGATCCCTGTGAATTCGAGGCCAGCCTGGTCTACCTAATGAGTTTCAGGACAGCTGGGGCTATAGGGAGACCCTGTCTCAAAAAACAGAAAAAAATTTTTTTTTTTTTTTAAATTTCTTTTTTCCCAGTACTGAAGACTGAACCCAGGGTCTCGCACATGCTAGGCAAGTGCTATACCATTGAAGCCAAAACCCCAACTCCTCACTGGGGATTCTAGGCAGGTACTCTACCACTGAGTCACACCCCAGCCCCTCACTGGGAGATTCTAGGCAGGGGCTCTAACACTGAGCCACACCCCAGCCCCTCACTGGGGGAGTCCAGGCAGGTGTTCTACCACTGATCCACCCCAACCCCTCACTGGGGGATTCTAGGCAGGGGCTCTACCACTGAGCCACACCCCAGCCCCTCACTGGGGGATTCGAGGCAGGTGCTCTACTGCTGAGCTACATTCCCCAGCTCTCTTTTTACTTCTTATTGTGAGACAGTCTCACTAAGTTGCCCACACTGACCTGGAACTTACTCTGTAGCTAGGTAAGACCTTGAACTTGTGGTTCTCTTACCTCAGCCTCCTGAGTAGTTGTGATTACAGGCCTGCCTATGCCACAGGCCTAGCTCTAAATTTATTTACTTTTTAAAAAAAAATATTTTCTTTATTATTTTTATGTGTATGAGTGTATTGCCTGTGTGTATGTGAGTGCACCCATGTGATGCAATGCCACGGAGGTCAGAAGAGGGCATCGGATTCCCCTGGAACTGGAGTTAAGGATGTTTCATAGCTGTCATGTGGGTGCTGGGAATCGAACCCGGGTCCTCTGCAAGAGCAGCCAGTGCTCCTAACCGCTGAGCCATCTCTCCAGCCCCTGTACAGTTTTTAGAGACAGGATCTTACATATAGCCTAAGCTAGCCGAGGATGACCTTGAACTTGTGATCCTCCTGATTCCCACCACCCAGGTGCTGGGATCATAGGCTTGCACCACCATACCTGCTGTTTTTATGTTTTTCTTTAGACATGGTCTCACTCTGTAGCCCATACTGTCTGTGTAGCCCAGGCTGACCTTCAATTCATCTTCTTGCTTCAGCTCCCTGAGTGCTGGGATTATAGCATAAGTCACCATGACCATCATATTGATTTTTTTTTTTAATCTATAAAATTTGGCTGGGCAGCCCAGGCTGGCCTCAAATTTATGGTCCTCCTATGTCACGCTCCCTTGTACTGAGATTACAGACTTGGGCTATCATTCCCATCCTATAGCAAATTTTTTAATCACATGATCATTCACAAACTTCCAGACCTGCTCACAGTGATAGCAATAGTTAGATGGTTTTTTTCATTTTTGTTTTCGTTTTTGTTTTTTGAGACAGCATCTCTCTGGAGCTCCAGCAGGTCTGGAACTTGCTATGTAGACCAGGCTGACCTCAATTTCACAAAGCTCCACCTGCCTCTGCCTCCTGGGTGCTGGGATTAAAGGCATCCACCATCATGCCCAGCTATTTAGTTGTTTTTTAATTTTGTTTATTTTATGTGTATGAGTGTTTTGCCTGCATGTATGTAAGTGCACCACATGTGTGCAATGCCCACAGATGCCTGTAGAGGGTGTAGGATTCCCTGGAACTGGAGTTACAGATGGTTGTTAGCTGCCATGTGGGTGCTAGGAATTGAACCTGGGTCCTCTGCAAGAGCAGCCAATGCTTTTAAGTGCTGAGCCATCTCTCCAGCCTTGAGACACTTAGTTTTCATCTGTGGCATCTGGCCTGGGCTCTTGAAACTGAAGTCACCATTTCTTTACCTGAAGTCAGAAATGACCTTTCCCTGGTAAGCTTCCCAGCAAAGACTGGCAAAGGTTTTATGTAAACATTTCAGCTTTTTAGGCTGTACCATCTCTGTCACAGTGACTCACCTCTGGTATAACAGTGTGAGAACGGACTTAGAGCAGGCAGATGGGCATGGCCGATTCAGTGGAGGTTTGCAGAGCTGGATCAGAGGTAGATATGGTCTGTGGGCTTCAGATGACTGGAACTTGCTTGAAGGGGCACTGTTAGCACATTTCTCCCCTCCTGAAAGTGGTTCCATTTTGGTCCTCACTGTTTGTACACTGTTGGTACCTCCAGCCCAGAACACACATAGTGATGCAGGCTATGACTTCTTTCCAGCGGACACCTGTGGTCTACTGTGTGAGACTAGCCAGGGCCCTTGTGGATGACTACTGCTGTTTGGTGCCAGGCTCCGTGCAGACACTGAAGCAGATATTCAGTGCCAGCCCCCGTTTCTGCTGCCAGTTCATAACGTCCGTGACTGCCCTCTATGACCTATCCTCAGGTAAGCAGTAAGATTGCTGCTATAGATTGTCTACTTTATGTATTCATTTATCTGTTTACAGTATTAGGAATGGAAACTAGGGCCTTTCACATACCAGGTAAGTGCTCTACCACTGCTACATCCCAGATACCAGTGAAGAATCTAGTGAGGCTTTTTTTTTTTTTTTTTTTAAGATTTTTGTTTTGTTTTGTTTTGTTTCGTTTTGTTTTTAAATCTATCTGTGTGTGTCTGTATATATGTGTGCCAAATGGTTGTGGTCCCTACAGAGGCCAGAAGAAGACATTGAATCCTTAGGAGCTGGAGTTACAGACAGTTGTAAGTTGTCTGCCATGGGTGCAGGAAGTTACAGTTGTTAGCTATCATGTGGGTGTTGGGAACTGAACCTGAGTCATTTGCAAGAGCAGCCAGTGACCTTCCTGAGCTGACCCCTGCCTCTACCTCTTAAACACTAGGATTATAGTGGGGTTTTTTTGGGGGGGGTTGGTTTTTTAATCTTTTTGAGACAGGGTCTCTCTATACCCCTACCTGGCTTAGAACTCACTATGTAGACCTGGGTGGCCTCACAGAGATCTACCTGCCTCTGTCTCCTGAGTACTAGGATTAAAGGCATGCACCACCACTCCTGGTTTAGGATTATAGGTTTATAATACACAACTGACTCAATATTGTTTTTAGCAGCCTCTTTTTCACTTTGAGGGCTCAAGAAAAGTCAGGATCAAGTTAGTCATCATGCATTATTTATAATGGTCATGTCCCTGTCTTTTGCTTTTGCATTGCTGAAGTTAAACTCAGGCCTTCACACATGCGAGGCAAGTCCTGAGTTATATTCCCATCCTATTTTGTGGTCTTTTAAAATCTAAAACAGCTCTTCAGGATTTAAAAATGATCTTGGAGAGAGGGATCAGTGGTTCAGAGTGCATATTGCTCACAACTGCCTATAACTCCAGCTCCAAAAGGATCTGGTGCCTCTGGCCTCTGTGGGCACCTCCCATTCACGTTCACAGACACACAGACACACATGCATACACATAATTAAAATATTGGCTGGGCTCAGTGGCACATACGTTTAGTCCCAGCTCTTAGGCAGAGACAGGTAGATCTCTGAGTTTGAGACCAGCCTAGTATACACTGTTAAGTTCCAGGCCAGCCAGGGCTACATAATGAGATCCTGTCTAAAAATATATTATAATAATAATAATGATGATGATGATGATGATGATGATGGTGATAACAACAGTAATAAATTTTTTTTTTTTTTTGGTCTTTTTGAAGCAGGGTCTCCCTGTAGCCGCAGCTGGCCTGGATTCGCTATGGAGACCAGGCTGGCCTCGAACTCACAGAGATCTGCCTGCCTCTGCCTCCCGAGTGCTGGGATTAAAGGCGTGCACCACCATGCACAGCCCAAGTAATAAATCTTAAAAAAATAAAGATAATCTTTTATGATATTGGCTTTTTTAAATATTTTTTTTTCTTTCTTTTTTTGAGATAAGGTCTCCCTGTAGCCCCAGCTGGCCTGGTACTCTCTCTGTCGATCTGGCTGTCCTCAAACTCACAGAGGTCCTCTGCCTCCTGAGCGCTGGGATTAAAGGTGTGCACCACCACACCTGGCACGTTTATTTATTTTTATTTTGTGTGTTTGGGTACACATGTGCCACAGTGGTGCATGTGGAGGTCAGGGGACAACTTGGAGGAATCAGTTCTCTCTTTCCACCATGTGTCTAGGTTCTAGGGTTGGAACTTAGGTTGTCAGACTGGTGGCAAGCACCTTTACCCACTGGGCCATCTTGCTGACCCTAGTTAAACTTTTTTAGCCACAGTTCTACCTTGGTGATGATTGTCCTCAGCCCCAGTTTTACTGTTTGTGACATTTTTGAGACTTCCTTCTTAGGGTGCCAGTGGAGGTATTCAGAATAGCTGTGAGAATGTTTGTCCCTCATCCCTGCCCTGCAGCAAAGCTCTCTGGCTATATTTCCTATTTAAAAAAAAATACAAGGGAAAAAAGAGCTCCCAAATACTTTTTGACATTTTTGGCCTTTGGAACAGAGTATGTTGCTAAGAGGCCCAAGGACATTTTGACTTTTAGCCAAGAAATTATCTACTTTCTTTGGGGTCTTTTTACCCTAACTGTCAAGCCAATTCCTACCTCCTCTACCTCTTCAGAAGGGGGAATGTTAGAATAGCAAAAAGCCCCCCCCCCTCCAAAAAAAAGAAAGTACACAAAGTTGTCCGGAAAACCTGATGGGGAGATATGGGAGGAGTTAGAGGGGAGGGAGTGGGCATGGATTTGATTGAAACAGCTAATATGCATGTATGAAATTCTCAGTAAATTTTTTTTAAAGTTAAAAAAAAAAAAGACAAGGGAGCTGGGCGTGGTGGCACATGCCTTTAATCCTAGTACTGGGGAAGCAGAGGCCGAGTTTGAGGCCAGCCTGGTCTACATAGCAAGTTCCAGGCCAGCTGGGGCTACAGGGAAACCCTGTCTTAAAAATACCAAAAAAATAAAAAATAAGAATAAAAAAAGACAAGGGGCTGGAGAGATGTCTCAGCAGTTAAGAGCACTGGTTGCTCTTGCAAAGGACCCAGTTTGGTTCCCACCACCCATATGGCAGCTAACAACATCCTAACTCCAGTTCCTGGGGATCTAACACCTTCACCTGGCCTCCATGGGCATTATACGCATGTGGTACACTTATATACATGCAGGCAAAATACTCAAACCCATTTAAGAAAAATGACAACAGTAGAAATTGACTAACTGGGTTAGGTGTAGTTGTAAACGCCTTTATTCCCAGCAGAGGCAGGTGAATCTATGTGAGTTCAAGACTAACCTGGTCTACATAGTAAGTTCTAGGCCAGTTAGGGCTACAGGGAGACCATTTCTCAAAAAAGCAAAGCGGGGAGGGAGGGAGGGAGGGAAGGATGGGAGAGAAAGAAATTAATTGACTAACTTCAAATTAGGGCAGGGGGCTCAAGGGACCCCCGTGCCCCCATCCTAGGCTGTGTTGGCCATTTCCTTCCTCAGTGATGGCTCTGAGGCACAGGGACTGGACAAGCAGAGCTCTCTTATATATGTCCTTCTACACCGACTGTATGACTCCTGGACAGGGCCTGGGCTCTTCATTTTTCCACAGTGGGAATGTGTGATTCAAGGCTTCCCCTGTGGACTCAGGTTCCCAGACTGCTTTTCTGCTCAAAGTTCAGGTTCTTCTTTATCCTCTGCCCTTGCTGCCCCAGGGGATGACAAATAGTCTTCTTATCCTGATCTGATAGCTCAGCCAGCAGTTTGAGAGCCTCTGGGAACATTTCTGTTTCCTGTTCTGTCTCATACTGGTGTCTCTGGATCCCGATTAGAAGTGAGTCTTTCATTTGTGGCCCTTTTTCTTGTATTTATTTATTTATTTATTTATTTATTTATTTATTTATTTATTATTTATTTATTTTTGGTCTTTGAGACAGGGTCTCTCTGTAGCCCCAACTGTCCTGGAACTCACTGTGTAGACCAGGCTGGCCTTAAACTCACAGAGATCTGCCTGCCTCTGCCTCCTGAGTGCTGGGATTAAAGGCATGCACCACCACATCCAGCTGTTTTCTTGCTTTTAAATTTAGTCAATTTCCAAGAAGTTCTGTGGAAATAGTGTGGGCATGTGAACAGAGACACATTCCCATGCTAAACCTCTGCTCCTGCCTTGAGCAGGCAGCCACTGGAGGCATCAGCAGAAGGCTTGCTGCTGGGTGGAACTTTTCCCTGCCTCAGTCTTGCAAAATTTCCTAAGAGCAGTCACTAGCCAGAAACAGGCCATGCTGCCCTTGGGTGCTTTTGGTAACTAGGGCAGCTCATGCCTTCAAACCAGAAAAGGGAAGGAAGTCCCCTAACCATACAGAGCTTCCTTGCTGGACAGGTATCTGTGTGGAGATGGAGAATTCAGTCTCTAAGCAGACGTGTCACGTGCATGCCCAGGACACAAGTGCATACTTGTACCTGTGTGTATGCTACCTTCAAGCTGCTACAGAGGCCTCCACTGAGACCTGGGCCTATGCTGGCAATGTAGATGGCATTACCCAGACAGAAACTCCTTGGGAATTGAGGGGGCAGCTTTTTTTACTTTGCTTGATTTATTTTTATTTTATATGTATGAGTATTTTGCCTGGATGTAGGTATGTGCACTGTGTGTGCAATGCCCACAGAGGCCAAAAGAGGGTGCCAGCTCCCCTGGAACTGGAAATATGATGGTAGTGAGTTGTCTGATGTGGATGCTGGGAATAGAACCCGGGTTCTCTGCATGAGCAGCCAGTGATCGTAACAGTTGAGCCGTCTCTCCAGAGGGGCAGTGTATAATACCAGTGGTAGGCACAATCTCAGGGAAACCCAGCTTTCAGAGAAAGACAGCTAGGAGCCTTACCCCAACACAAAGAGCATGATCTCTGCCTCCCACGCCCTCCTGTATGTCATTCTCATTCTCCAAGGGGCTCTGTCTTCCTTAGCTTTCTTGTGAGTTGAGGGGTGCACAGCCCGAGAGAGGAGACTGGCACACAGGCAGCTTGAGCACATATGCCGATGTAGACAGTGTAGCCTAGTGGCCTACAAGCCAGGCTGCTGAGGTCAGATCTGAGCCTGCCACAGGCTTCTTTGAGACATGAGAATGGGCTCCACAACACCACACATTTCTGGGGCAATAATCGGGATGGTTTGGAGCTTCTGTGTATTGCTCTGTATAAAAGACTGAGGCCAGGGCCTGCCACAGAGTCATCTGCCCTCATTATTTTTGTTCAGGTCAAACTGTTATTTAGATAAGGCTTCTAGCTTTGGGGTTGGGATGGCTGTTGGCAGCTAACAGCTGATTGACAAGACTCTGAGCTGCTCTTTGAGGGCCATCCTAGGTCTCACTGTACCATGGAGGAGACACTGAATATTGAGAAGAAACCTATACACCCAGAGAAGGGGTAAAGTATACCAGTAGTTTTAAACTAAGGGCCAGTGAAATGACTCAGTATGCAAAAGAGCTTGCTGCCAAGTCTGATTGATCCCCAGAACCCACATAAAGGTGGAAAATTGTCCTCTGACTTCCACACACACCCCATGGCACACACGAACACACACATACAAATAATAAATAAATAGATAGATGATAAATAGATAGATAGATAGATAGATAGATAGATAGATAGATAGATAGATAGATAGATAGATAAATGTCAAACCAGGAAAATGCTCCAATAATGGCATTCTGGGGAATAGTTAACTTACCCAATATTTCTTTGGCCTTGATCTTGGCCATAGTGTCCCAGACACTGGGGACATGACATAGATTTATGGGGCAGGTATTCTAGGAAAGGAGGCAGAAGATGGGCAGCCCAAGCAATGGGTATCTGAGCATCAGATGGGAAGGCTGTAAACTGAGGCATCCGCCTTTCCCTGCCATCCCTTGCTATCCCTCGCTCTCTCCTGTCCACTCTGTGTTCCTTGTCCCCAAGGCCAGGATCACCTCTGACTGAATGTCTGTTTACAGATGACCTCATCCCACCGTTGGACTTGCTTGAAATGATTGTCAACTGGATTTTCGAGGACCCGAGGTTAATTCTCATCACTTTTTTAAATACACCGATCGCTGCCAACCTACAGATAGGCTTTTTAGAGCTTACCTCCCTCATTGGGCTGATTCGCTGGTGTGTGAAGGCTCCTCTGGCATACAAGCGAAAGAAACCCAGCCTGCCCAATGGCCACATCGGTCACAAGGTAGCCAAGGACTCTGGTGCGGGTACGGACAGAGACTCCCACCTGCTCTACTCGAAGCTCCACCTCAGCGTCCTGCAGGTTCTCATGACACTGCAGTTGCACCTGACTGAGAAGAATCTGTACGGGCGCCTGGGGCTCATCCTGTTTGACCACATGGTCCCACTAGTAGAGGAGATCAACAGGCTAGCTGATGAACTGAACCCACTAAATGCCTCCCAGGAGATCGAGCTTTCATTAGACCGACTGGCCCAGGCTTTGCAGGTGGCCATGGCTTCTGGAGCCCTGCTGTGCACGAGAGGTGCGTGCTGACTCCAGGACCCCATGGTCCAGGCAGAAAAAAAGGAATCCTAGACCGACACGTTTGTTTCTTTTAGGACTTCCCTTTTTTCCCCGGTGAATACAAGGGAGGCAGGTGGAAAGGCCTAGACTGTCCCCCAAAGTCACCCCCATCAGGGTGCTAATATGCCATAGGTGGATAAGGCATCTAGGTGTCACCTGGCTCTTTTGGCCCAGGACTGGGGGCTACTCAGGAGTATAGTAACTTTTTCCTCTTGAGTCCTTCTTTTTGGGGGGAGTGTTGATTTTTTTGATGTATTTTTATTTTAGGTATGTGAATGTTTTACCTGCATGTATGTAAGTGCATTTGTTGCTTGCAGTGCCTGTAGAGGCCAGAAGAGAGCATCAGATCCCCTAGAACTGGACTTAAGGACAGTTGTTAGCTGTCATGTGGGTTTTGGGAACCGAACTTGTATCTTCTGCAAGAGCAGTCTGGGTTTTTTAACCACTAGGCCAGTTCTCCAGGCTCTCTTTTTGATTTTTGAAATAGAATCTCCCTGTAGTCCCAGTTACGCCTAAAACTCACTATGTAGAACAGGTTGGCTTTGAATTCACAGAGATCTACCTACCTCTGCCTCCAAGTGCTAGGATTAAAGGTGTATGGCGCTATGCCTGGCATGAGCCCTAATTTTGTTTGTTTGTTTATTCTTGATTTTTTTTTTTTTTTTTTTTTTTTTTTTTTTTTTTTTTTTTTTTTTTGGCAACAGAATCTTGCTCTGTAGCCCGGGCTGGCCAGGAACTGATCATGTAGCCCAAACTGGCTTCAGTATCATGGCAGTCCTGCTGTCTCAGCCTTCTGAGTGTTGGGGTAGCAGAAATGAACCAGCATGTCTGGCTTTTTGCTTTCTGTGGTTCCCCTTTTTTGATGGGGGGAGGCAGTACTCAAGATTCAGCCCAGGGCCTCATGTGTGCTAGGCAAGAGCTCTGCCACTGAGCTGTAGCCTCAGCCCTGTGTTTGCTGTCTGACTGCTGCCTGTGTCCCAAGCTGGGGTTGCCAGCGATGAGTTTCCCCTCTTACTCTGGGTGTTTGATTACTCAGGGAGATCCCTGTCTTCTGGTTCATCATTGCCCATCAGAGTTAACCCCGATTCATGTTTTTCCAGAGTGTTAACACAGAATTCAGTGCTGGGCTGTTTAAGCAAATGGAAAAATTATTTCCCAGCCACTCAACAGTCAGGCTGTCCTGATTCCCAAGTGGCTTCTTCCATTTGGGACTTGTTTGTTAAAGTGAAAACTACCAGACGGGGGAAGCCAGTTTCTAAGGACACTGGGAACATACCTCGTCAGGCCCTGTTGCTGTCTTGCCAGTGTCCCTGAGAAGAATGCCAGTGCCCTGGTCTTCTTTCTCCAGTCTGTCCCATAACCATGTTATCTCCTTGATTTCAGATGACCTGAGAACCCTGTGCTCCAGGCTGCCCCATAACAAGTAGGTACCCTCTGAGGCTTCGGCTGGGTTGGCATTGCTGGGGTAGGGCAGGGGTGGGGGACAAAGCAGGGCGGGTCTTAGGGAGAGGTACTCTGCAGGATAGAGTTAGTGTACCACATGAGTGGAAAAAACACGAAGTCACCCTCTTGCTGGAGTGAGAGACCAGAGCGCCCTCCCAGTGTCACAGCTGCCTGATCTGCCGGCTTCTGTTAGCGCTGAAGGTGCTGCACTAACACGCTGATGATTATACTAAGTTGCACCTCTGGTTGTGAAGGACCACAGGGCCACCACCCAGGAGTCAGGTGTATTGGTTATACCTGCTTCCAGCAGGAGAGACCTGGTTTCTGAGACACTCTTCTTTTTTTTTTTTTTTATTATTTTGTTTTTGTTGTTTTTTGAGACAGGATCTCACTGTATAGTCCTGGCTGGCCTGCAGCTCAGCACATAGACCAGGCTGGGCTTGAATGTACAGAGATTCGCTTCCACCTCTGCCCCTGCCTCTCAAGTGCTGGAACCAAAGGTGTGTACCACCATGTCTGGCTCTGAGAGACAACAATTTGGAGTGACATTTGGGCAGCCTCTTGTCAATGCACCTCAGTTTCCCTCTGGGCAGTACTGATGCCTGCCTCATGGGGTGGCAGTGAAGGTGAAATGGATCAGTGTTCATAAGCCTTTCATTGTTAACCCTGCCCCATGGGTCCTTCCACAAGCACAGTCGTCCTGTGAGATGCAAGAACAGCAGCACATGAATTCCTGTGTGTGACCTGCCTCTTCTCATCTGAGAACTCGAGAAAATAATAGATCCTGCCTCAGCTCCCCTCGCCTCTCCCCATGTCCTCTAACTTCCATCACATGCCATAGCACACATGTGCCCATGTTAACATATACGAATGTGTACACATCATGCACATCCCCACACACAACAAGCAAGTCAGGCTGGCAGGATTTGTCAGTATTCTTTGTTCAATATCACTTGGTCCTTGTCAAGAACTCACTGGGCGGGGCGTGGTGGCAGCACTCAGGAAGCAGAGGCAGGTGAGTCTGTGAGACGGAGACTAGCCTGGTCTACATAGTGAGTTCCAGGCCAGCTGGGGCTACATAATAAGACAAAACAACAAAAGTCTCTGGGTCCCTAAGCTGGTTTTGGTGGAGAGCGTGGATGAGGAGCAAGGTGGTGTGGCTGCATGGAGGTGTCACAGCCACCCAGGGCCTGGGCCCTAGCTTTGCCAGGCCAGTGAGGTAACGGGCCGAGACAGAAACTTGCGTCACTGGAGACTAAGGGTCAGCTGTATACAAGCTGAGGGAGGGTGGCCTGTGCCGTGGTTGGGGGACCTTGTTACCCAGTCCTATACTGTTAGGGTCCTCTGATGGAGAGTGGGCTGGGTTGAGTGTGTAGTGAATTGGAAGAATTCTAACAGGACTCAGCAGTGGCCTGTCCCTCAGCACTGACTTGTCACACAACATGCAGGCCATTAGAGGCCTGCTCTCCCTTGGGAGCTGCCATCTTTCCTTTCTTCTGAGCTCCAAGACAGTTCCTTGGAATTTTGCCTGGAATATTTTGAGTTTTGATGGCTTCTTTTGAGTTGGCTTTCTAATTAGACTGGAAACAAAAATTGCCTTGACAGGGTGTACCGGTTTGGCCTGTGTTGCTCCTTAGTCTTATTAAAAATATATGTTATTATTTTCAAGATAGGGACTGACATGTAGCTCAGGTTGACCTTGAACTCTGGATCCTCCTGCCTCAACTTCCAGAGTGCTAGGTTTACAGGCATGCCTGAGCCCATGTGGTGGAATGTGGTAGCACTGGTCCTGACAGCATCCTAACTTCTTTCCTTGTGTTTGCAGCCTGCTCCAGCTGGTGATCTCGGGCCCAGTGCAGCAGTCGCCACACACAACACTCCCCCCTGGATTCTACCCACACATCCACACACCCCCGCTGGCCTATGGAGCTGTGCCAGCCCACCCAGCTGCCCACCCCGCCCTGCCCACACACCCTGGGCACACCTTCATCTCAGGCGTGACCTTTCCATTCAGGCCCATTCGCTAGGCCAGCTCCTCCAAGCAGCCTAGCAGCTGTGTGCCTTGCACCTGGGCCCAGGAAGGAAGCCTTTGGAGAAAAGAGTGGGGCTGGCCTCACAGAGGAGGACCTTATGGAGGCAATAGGCAGTCCCTCCAGTTGGCAGAACCTTCTTGGTACCGAAATTCCAAATCACTGTCGCCTGGGTGCCGCCTACCTGGTCACCTTAAATATCCAGAGTGGATGGATGGAAGGGACTCATGCAGCCCTCTGCAGAGAGCAGTGCGGGGCATTTAAACATGCCAACCCCAGAGCGACTTCTGTGTCACTCAGACACTCTCAGAGTCCCTGTGCCCAGGAACACTGGCTGAGAAGCCGCCCCTGCCTGTTCATTCACCTGGCCTCAGGCGCATGATGTGTCTCTGCCACCACAGGCAAGCTGTGTGAGTGCAGAGCAGGGACGGCAAGACCCATGCTTGTAATGCAGCACTGGGCACTGCTCTCAGGGACACCTGTTGGGGTTCTCCATCACCTTGAAAAGGAATCTGTTTTATTGGGGGGGCTCTCAATTTTCCTTTCATATGTTCAAATAAATTTTTTTCTAAACAGTTTTACAGGCTTTATGGAATTTCTTTTTTGTGGTCCTGGGATTTGAACTCAGGGCAGTGCACATGCTTAGCAGGCATTCTTCCATTAGCCACACTGTCAGCCCTATGGAGTGTGTGTGTGTGTGTGTGTGTGTGTGTGTGTGTGTGTATGTGTATATATATATATATATGTATATATATATATATAATGTATTGAGAATTTCATACATGCTTATAATGTGTTTTGATCAAATCCATGCCCACTTCCTCCTCTCCAACTCCTCCCATATCTCCCCATCCTATGGAGTATATGGAGTATATTTTAACAACTGTGTAAATGTGCTGTGGGAATTTACTTCCCTAGTTTATGATGATCATACTGAGGATTGAATAGTAAGTTGATAACTTTTCTCTTTAATTGTGTGTGTGCACGTACACACATGAATGCCGCATGTGTAGGTGTCAGGACAACTTGGAGGAGTCAATTCTTTCCTTCTATCATGTTGGTTCCAGGAATCAAAGTCTGATCATTAGGCTTGACAGCACATACCTTTACCTGCTGAGCCATTTCACTGGCCCAGGTCTTACTATTTTAGCTAGGCTGATGGCTAGAAAACCCCAGCAATCCTGTCTTCATCCCCCACAGCACTGGGGTTACAGGTGAACCCATGGTCATGCCCAGCCTTTCTCATGGATTCTAGGAATTAAGCTCAGGTCCTTGTGTTTGTGCATTAAGCTCTGACCTACTCAGCCTAGGATAAAAATCATGCACGGCCCCTTTTTTTTTCAGCATTTATTTATTGTGTTCATGTGACTATGTGTGGTTGTGTGTATGCTGGAGATCAGAGGACAACTTGTAGATGTCAGTTCTCCCCCATGTGGGTTCCAGGGATCAAACTCAAGTCTTCAGTATTGGCAGCAAGTGCTTTTTACCCAGAGCCATCTTGAACTTGAGATCTTTCTGCCTCTATGTCCTGAGGGCTGAGGTGACAGATGTGTACCACCATACCTAGCCTTTCAGAGTAGTTCTTGCTAAAAAGAAAAAGAAGGAAAAAAAAATGTAAGGAAAATGCCTCGAGTCACAGGCTGGTGGGTTTCTTGGCAACAAGCAATTCAATTAGTCAACCAAAAATGGAAAAAGGCTGACCGTTCACATGGCCACCATCTCTTCTTGCTTTCTTTCTAATAATGAAAATGATAGCTCCTATTTAGTAATTATCATGCACCAGTCACTTGCTAAGTAGTTTTATTCTTACTACATTTATTGATTGTTTGGGGGGGGGGACATGCCACAGTGCTTGTGTGGAAGTCAAAGACAACTTGGTGGAGTGAGTTAGTTCTCTTCTACCATGTGGGTCTTGGGGATTGAACTCAGGTCCTTAGTCTTGGCAACAAGCACCTTTACCCACTGAGCGATCTTGCTAGCCCCCAGTATTTGCTTTGTAAGTAACAGTTTGAGTATAATTCATTCCCAGTTGAGCCATTAGAAATACACAGCACAGTGGTTCTTCCCGAATGGCCATTAAGCATCAGCTCTGTGTTCTGCATCCTCAGTAGAGTGCCCATTCACATCAGTCCTCACTACCCCCCATTCCACCCACTACCTGAGCTTGGGCAAACCCGATCTCTTTTCTCTTGATGGGTTCACCTTTTTTGGAGGGTCCTTTCTGATGGAATTATAGTTGCAGCCTCATGCCGTTCACTCAGTGGAGTGTTTTCAAGTTTTAGCCGTGTAGCTGGCTTCATTTCTTTTTATGTCCAGATCGATTGTATGTAAAATGTGAAATACCAAGAGCTGGTCTTTTGTGTGTATGTGCTTGTATGTGTGTTCCCATGTGTGTGTGGAGGGGCACATGTGTATGTGCACGTGAGTGTAGAGGCCAGATACTGATGTCAGGTATCTTCCTCAATCACTCTCCACCTTCCTCTTTCAATTTTATTTTTTTATTTTAAAAATCACATATTTATTGTACATGTGGGGGGCACACGTGGCACAGCACACCTGTGAAGGTCAGAGGACAACCTGTAAGAGTCAGTTCTCTCTTTCCATATGGGACCCAGGAATTAAACTCAGGTTGTCAGGTTTAATGCAAGCACCTTTTCCCACTGAGTCATCTTGCCAGCTCTAATTTATTATTATTGGGGTGTGTGTGCGTGTGTGTGTTCTCATGGATGAATCATTGCAAGAAATAGAAGTAGCCAGGCCTTGTGGTGCACATCTTTAATCCCAGCACTCAGAAGGCAGAGGCAGGCTGATCTATCTGAGATTAAGGCCACCTTTGTCTACATAGTGAGTTCCAAGCCAGCTGGAGCTACAGGGAGAGCCTGTTTGGGGGGAAAAAAAGAAAAGATGAGGATGTAGCTCTGTTGATAGAGTTGGTAGGTAGCATTCATGAGGCCCTGAGTTCCATCCCCCACACCACATAAACTGAACATGGTGGTGTATGTGTATAATACCAGCATTTGGGAGGTAGAAGCAGGAGGATCAAGAATTCAAGGTCTACACAGTGAGCTTGAGGCCAGCCTGGGATACATGACACCTTGGCTTAAAAAAAGAAAAAAAACAGGGGCTGGAGAGCTGCCTCAGTGGTTAAAAGCACTGGATGTTCTGGCAGCGGACTCGGTTCAGTTCTTAGCATCCACTTTGGGCAGCTCACAACCACCTATACAGGAGAAATACAGGGTATCAGTTACTTCCAGAAGGCTTCTTCATGCATATGTTACACAAAGGTGAGCAGTGGGCCTGGAGAGAGCCTCCAAAGGGTCAGAGCAGGGGAGGATGGGAGGATCAAAGGGCAGCCCAGTAGAAATGTCCAGTACTGTCCTGAGGCAGAAGAACATGAGAGGTTTAGGACATGGAGGTGGCTGGTGACACGAAAGGGCACTATCTGGAGTGATGGGGCCAAGGCTCAGGCCAGGTGGAGGGGGAAAAGGAGGGATGGGCAGATGGAAGAGGAATGGGTGGGGCAGCCTGTTGGGAAGATGGGAGGGCCCTGCAGATGTGTTGCTGGGAAGAATCCAGCAGAGGGAGGGAGAAGCTAAAGATTTGGGGAAGGGGACTAGGGAGATGGCTCAGTGGATAAAAGGACTTGTTGGGCAACTGTGAAGGCTTGAGTTTGAATCCCACACAGTCATGTAAAAGGCCAGTCATGGCCACACCATTGCCTATAACCCTGCTGAGGGTGGAGACAGGAGGACCACTGGGGATTGCTGGTTGTCACCCTCACTCCAGATTCAGTGAGAGACCCTGTCTCAAAGGAATACGATGGCACGTGATAGAGCAGGACACCCATGTCTTCCCTCTGGTTTCTATACACATGCATATGGGTGCACACATACACACCACACACATACATACACCACACCCCTCTCTGTCTCTCTTGCACATGAAAGTTTCAGGGAGGAGGGGATCCCTGGGTACTGAGGTCTTTGGGAAAAAGCTCCCACCTTCTGAGTACAGGAGATGTGAACGCCTGCCCTTTGTCTGGCTGCTCCCTGATAATAGCCCAGTTATCCTATTGCATGGCTGTCCGTTTCCACCTCACAGATGGAAGGCTGTATGGTGCCTCAAGTTACCTGGCTGCCAGAGGGCCCCTTGACTCTAGATTATTCTGCCTCTGGAGCAAGCAAAGTCTCTACTGTTGCCCTTGAAGCCCAATGTATAGTCTGTGGCCCTCAGGCGCCTTCCCTGTGGAGGGGGGCTGCTGATTTGCCACTCCAGCTTCCAGAGCACAGGCTTTTCAAGCAGGATGCTAGGGAAAATATGCCTGAGCAGGCAGAATCTGAATGCCTGATAGAACTGTATGCAGAGGGACGGGGGTGGGAGGGGGGCTGTCATCCCATGAAGGGCTTTTGTACCCCCTCTTTAGGGGACATTTCTACCCCACCCCAGGGGCAGCTCTCTTTTTGCCAGATCTTCAAGTTTTTCTTATTTAAAAAATATTTTATTGCTGGGCATGGTGGAGCATGCCTTTAATCCCAGCCCTCACGAGGCAGAGGCAGGTGAATCTCTGTGAGACTGAGGCCAGCCTAGTTCACATAGTGACTTTCAGGTGGACTGGGACTAGGAAGACACTGTCAAAAATATTTTGTTATATTATAATAAATATTTATATTTAAAGTATTTTAATATTTTATTTTCAGTATTTAAATTTTATGTGTATGAGTATATTGCCCGCATGTATGTAAATACACAAATATTGTGCAATGGCTGCTGAGGTCAGAAGAAGGTGTCAGATCCCTTGGAACTGGAGTTTTGGATGATTGTCAGCTGCCATATGGGTGCTGGGAACCAAACCTGGGTCCTCTTCAAGAGTAGTCAGTGCTCTTAACCACTCAGCCAACTCTCTAGGCCCCAGATCTTTGAGTTTTTCAAGAGAACTTTAAAAAGATTTAGAGAAAAGTGTTCCATTTAGTTCAGGCTAGCTTCAACTTGCTATGTAGCCAAGAATGGCCTCAAACCTCGAGTGCTGGGATGACAGTCATACTATCATACACCATGCTGTATTTATGCAGTGCTGAGGATGGAACCCTGGGCTTCCTGCATGCTAGGCAAGCACTCTATCAACTGAGCCACACCCACAGCCCCTTTTCAAATGAACTTGAGGGGCTGGAGAGCTGACTCAGCAGTAAGAGCACTAGCTGCTCTTGCAGGGGATGGGGATTGGGATCCCAGCACCCACATGGCAGCTCACAAGTGTCCATAACTCCAATTCCAAGGTGATCAGTAACCTCTTCTGGCCTCTGCCGGCATGCACGAATGGGGTGCACTCATAAATAAAAATTTTAAAGAAGAACGTGAACATTTCATGTGAATTCTGAAGATTAGAGAAATCTGTGCTTTGATATTGCAGCTGAGCTAGGGGAGGGATGTGTGGATGGATGGTCAGCTCAGGCCTGGGGGATAGGGGTGTCCAGACAGACCCCTGTCCCAGGCGGGGAAACAACCTTGCTGCTTCGCAAAGAGAGAGAAGACACTTAGGGGACCATGGCCCAGAGCAGCTGGGAGAGCTGCCTGGAGGAGGGGAGAGGCTGGAGGAGGGGCCGCCTGACCACCAGGGGAGCGGCTAGTGGAAGGGAGCAAGAAGCCAAAGTGACATCAGCGGGTCTCCCAGTTCCTGAGGATGACCTTGAAGGAGCTGTCACAAACTGTCCATCTGTCTGTTCAGGCCAACTCAAGAGTCCAGGTGTGAGCTGGGTTGGCCTCTTGGATCTGCTGGCTTCAGGATCGGGCAACCACATTCACAGATTAAATGCTAATCAGCTCCAATTTGTACCCCTACCAGGGGGCACTCTGAGACAATGCATACCCTTCAGAGGGTAGCAGGGGATCTGGCTGGAAGCCCCTTTCCCCGTCCATCGGTGCAGCCACAGTGACAGTCGCCAACCGGGGCGCGCGGATACGCGCACCGGGTGATGCGTTTGCAGTGTGCGCTGCGCTCAGCACCGGCTGGGCCCGGGACGCACGCAGAACCGAGCATCCCGTCCACATCCCCATCCTCATCTCCCCCCGGGGGGGCCTGGTGAGTGGCCGGGCCCGGAAGGGTTAAGCCCACCGAGCTGGCAGCGCGGCCTAGAGCGGCGGCGGCGACGGCAACAGCAGCGGTGGCGGCGGCGGGGGCCGGGGCGCGGGGGCGCGGCGGGC